TTTTATTTTAAATGTCTAGCATTCTCTAAAAATTTTAAAAAAATTAGGAGTACGATTACGATAAGAATAAGGATGTGAAGGGAAATGGAATGAATTCAAGTGGTAAAAATTAAAGTAAAATAACAAACTAGAAAAAAATTACTATGACCATGGTAAAGAAAGGGGTTTGACGAAACGTTTTTGAACACACAATTTAGGTTTCTGTTCATGTATAGCTAAAGCTTCGGCTATGCATAAGTGAAGAAAAGGTAAACTTTTGGAGCGATTCGATTTGGCCACGTAGATAACCTTCAAGGGTGAATAACGTGGGGCTGAATGACCAGACTCTAACTGGTGATCACAAATAGACGACTTCGCAGTTCTACGTTCACCTTTCATTAACTAAACCGGATAGTGTTCAGCTACATGTTTTCGGAGAGTACGCGTACAACGTCCAATATAATGAGCTCCACAGGAGCAGGTGAAAGAGTAAATGCACATAGATGTGGATATAAGCGGTAATCTACCCTTGACGCATTGTCTGATGATATTTCAACTGGTAAAAACTAGTTCCAAGTCAACTGCATGAAAAGAGCGTTTAATACATTTAGATAAACGATTTTTAATCAATTCAGAAATGGTGTCACCTTTGAATGCAAGACTCATACATAAACAGTTTTCTCTTTGGCACTGTGATTTTTCTAAGGGTAGATTCTTTCTTGATGTTACGTTCAATAAACCTTGTAGGATATCCATTGTTAAGGAGATTTGATCCAAGGTTATCTAGTTCTCTACCGGTTGTCTCTATAGAGCAGATTTTACGAATTCTGGAGCATAAGGAATGAATAAGATTTCTCTTTCTCCCAAAAGGTACCTAACTGTTGAAGTTAGTGTACTACCCTGTGAATGTTGGCTTTCGGTAAATCGACCTTAACAGCGTTCCATTCTCTCTTCTATCTAGCTTAACGTCAAGGAAGTGAAACGAGGAATTCGACTCTTCTTCGACCGTGAAAAGCAAACATGGGTGAGAACCATCAAATATTCCAAGAAGTTCGGCAGTTGAGGACTTTTCTTCACAGGCAATGAAGATATTATCTATATATCTTTTATACATAAACAAACTTTTCCTCTAGTGGGCCGTTCTCTAAGCTTGACATGAAGACATCCGCTACAAGCGGTCCTAAAGGAGATCCCATGGCGACTCCATCCCTTTGATTGTAGATGACTTCATTAAATCTAAATTGCACATTCAGTGTGCAGCTCAATAATAGTTGTTTAAGATATTCTGTTAGTAAGCCGATATTCATGCTATTTAAATCAATAAACTCGCATAGATAGCAGATAGTGTCTAATAGTAGTACATTTGTGAACAATGAACAAACATCTAACGAAATCATATGCTTACCGGTCACATTAATTTCATCAACGCAACTGACAAAGTCAAAAGTTTCGGGAAGACTATGCTTACATAGATTTAATATAACTGGTTCAAGAATTTCCGCAAGCCATTTAGTGGTAGAGTGATACGGCGAGTTCAGAATATCCAATACAGGTCGAAGAGGGACATCATCTTTGTGCACCTATCGGAGACCATATTCTAACATCTCCAGATCTTTACTTTATCACGTCAGAAATATAATCCTCGAACAGGCTACATTCTTTGTTAGTTCAGAAAGGAAATGCAGACGTTGAGCAATTTAAATCTGCAATACTCCATTGTTATTACCTGTACCAAAAAACGCAGGGCAGATAACGACGAATGTTCACAAAAGACAACTTAATCAATTGCTGAACAACAAAAGCATAATACGGATTCGCCCAAAGGATCAGGTATTGTTATTCTTAATCGTGTTGACTATGTCAATAAATTATGTACCACCATCCTTAGTGATGAAGAAAACTTTCAAAAATCACCTGACTTTCTGAACTAACAAAGAATATAGCCTGTTCGAGGATTATATTTCTGACGTGATAAAGAAAAGATCTGGAGATGTTAGAATATGGTCTCCGATAGGTGCACAAAGATGATGTCCCTCTTCGACCTGTATTGGATATTCTGAACTCGCCGTATCACTCTACCACTAAATGGCTTGCGGAAATTCTTGAACCAGTTATATTAAATCTATGTAAGCATAGTCTTCCCGAAACTTTTGACTTTGTCAGTTGCGTTGATGAAATTAATGTGACCGGTAAGCATATGATTTCGTTAGATGTTTGTTCATTGTTCACAAATGTACTACTATTAGACACTATCTGCTATCTATGCGAGTTTATTGATTTAAATAGCATGAATATCGGCTTACTAACAGAATATCTTAAACAACTATTATTGAGCTGCACACTGAATGTGCAATTTAGATTTAATGAAGTCATCTACAATCAAAGGGATGGAGTCGCCATGGGATCTCCTTTAGGACCGCTTGTAGCGGATGTCTTCATGTCAAGCTTAGAGAACGGCCCACTAGAGGAAAAGTTTGTTTATGTATAAAAGATATATAGATAATATCTTCATTGCCTGTGAAGAAAAGTCCTCAACTGCCGAACTTCTTGGAATATTTGATGGTTCTCACCCATGTTTGCTTTTCACGGTCGAAGAAGAGTCGAATTCCTCGTTTCACTTCCTTGACGTTAAGCTAGATAGAAGAGAGAATGGAACGCTGTTAAGGTCGATTTACCGAAAGCCAACATTCACAGGGTAGTACACTAACTTCAACAGTTAGGTACCTTTTGGGAGAAAGAGAAATCTTATTCATTCCTTATGCTCCAGAATTCGTAAAATCTGCTCTATAGAGACAACCGGTAGAGAACTAGATAACCTTGGATCAAATCTCCTTAACAATGGATATCCTACAAGGTTTATTGAACGTAACATCAAGAAAGAATCTACCCTTAGAAAAATCACAGTGCCAAAGAGAAAACTGTTTATGTATGAGTCTTGCATTCAAAGGTGACACCATTTCTGAATTGATTAAAAATCGTTTATCTAAATGTATTAAACGCTCTTTTCATGCAGTTGACTTGGAACTAGTTTTTACCAGTTGAAATATCATCAGACAATGCGTCAAGGGTAGATTACCGCTTATATCCACATCTATGTGCATTTACTCTTTCACCTGCTCCTGTGGAGCTCATTATATTGGACGTTGTACGCGTACTCTCCGAAAACATGTAGCTGAACACTATCCGGTTTAGTTAATGAAAGGTGAACGTAGAACTGCGAAGTCGTCTATTTGTGATCACCAGTTAGAGTCTGGTCATTCAGCCCCACGTTATTCACCCTTGAAGGTTATCTACGTGGCCAAATCGAATCGCTCCAAAAGTTTACCTTTTCTTCACTTATGCATAGCCGAAGCTTTAGCTATACATGAACAGAAACCTAAATTGTGTGTTCAAAAACGTTTCGTCAAACCCCTTTCTTTACCATGGTCATAGTAATTTTTTTCTAGTTTGTTATTTTACTTTAATTTTTACCACTTGAATTCATTCCATTTCCCTTCACATCCTTATTCTTATCGTAATCGTACTCCTAATTTTTTTAAAATTTTTAGAGAATGCTAGACATTTAAAATAAAAATATTTTTGATATCGATTCACTTATAAGACAATCTTTAATAATTTCGTAATTCATCCACTTCAAATCCCACTCTTCATAACATTTTGATTATCGGTATTCTTATCGCATGTATATGCATATCGACTGAGCAATTATTTAGTTCCAGTTAATAACCGTTTTGTGTAATATAAATACGTCTATACAGCTTGAAAATGAAGTCATTGAAAAGAGATTTCTACGCTGAACGAAAAAACTGCTGTCACTTATGAATAAATGGGTATTTTCCTTATTTTCACAGATCTTTCATGTTTTGCCACGCTTTGCATTTCATATTGTGTTTGTTTGTCCTCCCTCCATGTCTTCTGTGTCTTGGCTCAATACTGTTGGTTCACCTCCCCTCTTTGACATCAAAATCTGTCTCTCCGCCATTTCAAATATTTTTGCGCCGGTGAAAATCTTTTTATACACTACTGATAAATCTTGTCAGAAGCACACAACACAGAGGTGCTTTTAAACTAAGTACTTGTGCAAAAACTACTATCCTTTATTTTATTGGACATCATATTATGTGAATTTTCTTTAAATACACTCCAAGGAGGAACTCATCTTCCTATGTTTGCTATCGCATCATCTCAGCCAAGCTATGTAAGAATGATTTTATCCACACAAACTTAATTATGAGATGTACATATATTTTTAAGTGTTGGTTTGCAGGGATTTGAATGGATTCAAGTCCGACCAGGGAATGATGTTAACTGGGAGATCACTGGAAACCAGGAAGTACTGGACAGATATTTCGTCCACATTTAGAACTTCTTTTGCCTCAGGTGAGTATCACAGTTATGAGGTTTGAGAATATATGATACCTTTCAGTTGTTGACTACCCTGTGAAGTTAAATCCATCTACTATATAAACACCTAGTGAAAACATCGTGTTTCTTGGATGATTAGCTCTATAAATTTTTAAACACTTCTCTAATATTTTTGTATCATTTTCGCTATCCACTAGTTGTTTTTTGTAAAGCCATTGTATCAGCTGTAACGTGAGTGCTCGAAGTATATTTGCCAACTTTTTTAACTCTAGTAAATAGAGAATAATAATCATAATTTGTCGCCGAAAGGAGTAGACTAAAACAGTCTTCACTATGTGGAATCTAGTGTTACACATCAATTCACTACATGTAGTATCACACAAGCCTCAAAACGTAATCTGAGCGCTTTCGCCTCTTGAAGGGAACTATAACGAGATCGCGAATAGCACTAGGTAGTTTGCAAATAATCATATGTAATTCTGTTGTTGTTTTATGGTAGCTTTCTGTTTATCTGTGACAATGTAAACAGACTGTCTATAACCTTAGCTTATGTGTCATTTAGTTTATGTAAGTTGAAAATAGACGAATGGAACTTAAGAAAAAATAACACTGTAAACATCATCAGTCATTACAAAACTCACTAACATTATCATTACCTTGTACCACAGGGAACATTCTTCACTTCATCAGTTTGTAAAGTTATCTGTTAAAAATAAAAAAGCACGTAGACAATAAAAATCCATAATCTTACCTGGACAGGTTTAAATGTTGTTATAATAGGAATCATTAAATGATAGCCAGGTCCATTTGTTTGAGACAGTAGGGCACCTCCACGATAATATACACCGACATGACCTAATCTTTTTTGTAAAGAGATTATCGATTAAAAACAACCTTCATCAATTTGATGGAAAGACAGTCGAAACAGAATACTCCATGCAACGAGGACTACGGCACTGACTGGTAACAATGACCGGTGAATATCCATGCCTACAAAACATATACATGAAGATAGGTGAAGTCAATAATGACAAATGAAGCTAGTTAAGCGGAACAAGTTTACAATTCCTTCGGCAGTAATGTGATGGAGTTATCCATTTCACTGAATGTGGCGACGGGGCTCATCATCGGCTTTCATTCAGTGGGTCCCGCGTTCGAACCCCACTCTACCTATCTCAGTCTGGGGAACTGGGTAGTACCACTTGCCTTCACACAATAAGTGTGGCTTATGGCTTAGAACATGAAAGACCTGTTTTTGCGAACTGAGTCCAAAAGCTAAATTTCACTGGATATGGTGCAGTACGTGGAAAGACATTCGCGCTACGATTCTCAGTCCTACTCAATTTTAAACCTGGCTACCCTCTACGATGGTGTAGACTTCATACAATACCTACTACCCCAAAGAAGATGAGGCTAGGCTATGCTCACCTGTAAGTTCACAGCTTTTGAAGTATTCCTAGCAGAAACTCCAGCTCTACCAAACGCGTGTAAAGTGAATATAAATAGTCACTTTGCAACCAAATTAGACGACCGAACTAAAAATCTGAAGACCCATGAGAGAGCTGCATGAAATTAATTCAGGCAACTACACGCTTGGGTAACTCAACCGTATATCACTTGGATTGTCCCCAAAGGGTCGAAAACATTGAAACCCCATATAGATACATCGGGAAGTACAAGGACTACTCAGACGTAGACACAAATAATGGATGGTATGTATCACTCATGAGACTTCAGGAGCCAGGGAGATGTACACTACAGCTAGAAACAAAGCTAGTACAGGAATTCGTAAGTCACAGGTGGTATTCAAAGTGTGTAGCCCAAAAAGGTATAACCAAAGAAAGTATTTTCGTACATGAACCTCAGGAATCAGACGTCCCATGCTGTCCCAAAAGTGACTGTAGACGGAAACGCAGTGGAAAATCAGGAAAACGCTGAAACAATGGCAGACTTCTCCAAAACCACCACACAGGAGACATCGTCACAATAAGACATGATACGTTGTGTTCCAATACCTAGGCACACGGAAATCAGTGGAAACTGATGATTTCCACCCAAGACTTCTCAAGTAGCTTGCACCCTACATACCCGACCCATTAACTAGTATCATCAAGATATCCCTCTCATATGAATTGTTTAATGTGACTGAAAGGGGATAGTAGTGGCTCCTACTCACAAAGGAGGATCTGAGCAGTACTTCAAACTACAGGCCTGCTAGTATTACGAACAACTTGATCAAAATACTAGAAATAAGTGGCATATTTAGAAGACAAAATCTTGTTATCCAACACGTCACGTTTATCGAGGAAACAAAACAGGTATGATAAACCTGCTAACAGCAAATGAAAGCTAGGTCAAGTATAAGAACAACAAGAAACTAATCCACGCTGTATTCCTAAATTTCAGCGACGCTGGCAAAGTGCTTCACACAACATTGCATGTTAAATTCTAATTTCAGAATCAAGAGAGACTTAATCAAATGGATCAGAGGATTTCATGCACTTCGGAGACAAGATAAGGATCAACTCAAAACTTCGTTCATAGGACGACGCTAATTGGTAGTGTGTCACAAGATATGTACTTGGGTCACTCAATTTTCCAATATATCACCGAACTACCTGGACCCAGCAAATCACATATGTTTATCCACCCAGCTAACCTGAAATTTCCGTGTTTCTAGAAGCCAAGGAGGACCTATTTAGCTGTGTGGTAAAAATCCCCTCACCGAGTCATTAACTCTGCGGTGACACAAAATAAGTGATAGTTGTGCTTTTCGTTGACTCGTTCAGGAAGAGATTCAATAATTATAGACACTTAATAAAAAACAGTTAACATAGACTCAAAGCCTTCTATTCTCAACCATGGATATGCCCAACAATGCATTAAGTTAAGAGCTGGGGAAATGTGGACGCAGTTTAGTAAATGAAGTTTTGGAAAATGCATGCAAATTTGAAAAAATCCCGAATTCCTTCTAAAATACCCAGATCTCCACGAAAATGTTTAGAAGGGCACGGACGGACTATCTGATAAACTTACACGAAGCTGACAACGGTTAGAATTAGTCGTCTAGATGAGTAGCGGCAGCTCACTTAACATGCTTCAAGGAAAAACAGCATTTTTATACGGGTCTATAAATACTATATAGTAAGTTAAAGAATTGTTTTTCGTCGAGAGAAGTGGACACGAGAAGTGGATTTGTGTATTTTGAACATTCATCAGGCAATAAATCATTGAGAACGATGTTGTTTTTGAGATATTTACTTAAGCTACACGAGATAGGATGCAGAAATCATTGTCTGGGTCTCACATAGAATCATATGCCACTCAAATACACTTTTTCCTTGATAAATGCCACTTTTTAACTAGAGGAATATAAATGGCAGATTCAGGGTCATTTGACTTTGGTATCTATTCCTCACTGTTGCCTCATTATAATTCAATGCGGAAAAGAGATGAAACAGCAGATAGGATGAGAGTTAAAGCAAGTCGACCTACGTCCAAAACGAGTCACACCACCCAACGTTCCGTAAAGGTCACATCAGCCGCTACATCACACTCAGTATTCAATACCCAATATCAATTCTTCAGCCCATTATAAACTAATGTGAATTATTACGCCTCACTTCTGTTAGTGAGGTAATGGCCCATGATCCTTGGTGAGTTTTCACACCGTTAGTCACGTCATCCGTGACCTAAATCTATGATAGACTTCGATTAGGTGGGAAGGCATATTAAGTCTGAGAGAAAGATTTTAGTTTTCGCTGGGACCACAGTATTATTATGTTCAACGTCTGTTCTCTTATCAGCAGAAACTTAAACTCTTTTGGAGAAAATAAGACTATTATGGATGTAAAAACAGAAGTTAACCAAAGGATGTAAAGATATAAGAGTTCTGAATGTCCTAGTGATAACAGTGATATGAAAAGTTATTTGAAATCGTAGCATATGAAACACTACGTAAATTTGTATGAATAATCTATAGAGAGTGCTGCACCTGATTATATGTCACTCAGTAAGTCTTGTTGTTACCATCGATGAAGTGGCGCTTCATTAACTGTAGGACTCCAGTGACTGCAAGACAGCACCTTGTGTGCTTCTGAGTTCTGAAATCACACACATTATGCCACCCCTTATCCCTTGCCGACTCAAAAAAGAATAGTCTTCTCACCTAATAAACCTCCTATGATATTGGAGTTGGGAAATATCTGTCAGCATGAGTGCACTGAGATCCTAATCGGAATGAAAAGGAATATCTTCATTTGATTTCCCCTTAGGAAGCATAAAGCACTGTTGGTGCGGCTGATTATGATTGTTGTCATTTGAATTTGCATTGTGGTTAGTTAGGCCAGGTCTAGTGAATAAAGAACTGTTGTCGAGATTGTACATACCATCCAAGTGATACTGTTGTTTCCACGATTCTACCGATTGCTATTCGTGCTTCCGACAAGATCCACAGATAAACATATCCGCAGAATCAACGGCCTATAGCTTCACCTGAGTTCAGAACTGACACCTACTGTTTCACGAAAGTGGTTAAGCTGAAGCTGTAGGGGCAGTCGTCATTGCCATTTCGAATTATGTTGTATGGCATACGAATGGTCACGTGCAATCTCTAGTTGGCTTTATGGGTCAATCAGTTTAGCACTTGGTCGGTAAAGTTGTTATTCCTGTGAAGTGGCAAATAAATCCCTAAAACAGCCAGCATATAGTTTTCATCGCTCAACATTAGGTACCTACCTTCATTGTTTAGTTTGACTGGTAATCCGGTGGTGCACGGTTTGTATTCCATCCCACGTTCGGTTTATCATCCGTGTACTCTAAGCAGAAACCAGGCACTATATTTCTAATTCTGAAATATATTTCGTATCTCAGACCTAGCACTTTGTTTTCACCTGACTTCCAAACATTTCATACATTTATTCCCCTTAATGAATTTGAACAAAGAAAGAACTACAGTTTTAGCAGAATAAAATGGTACCATCTTTTATTTCGTTGCCTTCTCGTCAGCTGCTTACATGGCAAAGACATTATTAAATATATCTACAACAACAATTTTAACATACTTGCACAGAGTTAAGTTTAAACAAAAATCAATCGATCAATATACTAATACACTAAAAATATATACATATATAAATATTTTATATTATTATTATTATTATATAAGCTTTATTCCAAATCAGTACTTGTGATACAGAATGGAATTCTCAGCATTTTACTACAATATTGCATCCAGTTTTTTTTACATTAACAATAAATAAAGTTCTACATAGTTTAAAGATTATCTCAACAACATATTAGTATGTCGGTAGCAAAGCCAAAATTAAAATGTTTGAAGGTGTTACAAAAGTAGATACTACTAGCATATTTACTGGCGTAAGCGATAGCAAAATGGTCGAGATATACAGAGTGTAAAAGAACGAACAAGAATGTTTTAAGTAGAGTTTGCAAGGAAGAGAGAAACAAAACAGCACATAACAAAAATAAATACAGAATGAAGAGAGAGAAAACGTTGTACCTATAAATGATGTGAGTTGGAAAGACGAGATTCATTGGTTCTAGTGACTATTTAATAAGTTAAAGGTTTCATGCCTGATGCATTCTTTATCACACAGAACACGGGCTAGGTAGGGTATGGATGAGTTTTTGTACTTACTAGTGCGAGCATATAGTTTCCTATATAGACTTCTTGTTTTCCCTGAAGAGATACATGGGGAGAGTTGTGAGTGTAGAGGGTGTTGTGAGTCAGATAAAATGGACTTCGCCCATTTTTCACATGAGTCCATGTGCCTGTCCACCAGAATGTTAACAAGCTGGCTAAGTGGCAAGCTGCTTACCCTGCTGACAACCTTTAACATCCTACGTAATAAGGTATAGTCTTTCTTCAATAGCCCAGGAAAGACTAAGGGGGAGCAATAGAGAATTATAGGCAGAATACGGGAGTTAACAAATTGTAGTAGTAAGGGTTGGGTTACACCAGAATGTCTTAACTTCTTGATGTAGAAGGTAAGACGGTATATTTTCTTGGAAATCGTCAAGATATGAGACGACCAGGAAAGATCAGAAGATAGAGTGACGCCTAGGTATTTAATTTCCGACTTAGTTTCTATTTCAGTGCCATCTATGTTGCACACCTCGTGAGCGCTAACCAGTTTGTTTAGGTCAGATTTATGCCTAAAGGTGAAATTAACTGTTTGGCATTTGGAGGGGTTTAAGGTTAGACCGTTTTCCTTGGACCATTGGCTAATTTCTGATAAGAAGCCATTTAGTTTAGAGCAGTCATTTTGACATTTGACAGGTAAAGATACAGTCAGGTCATCAGCATATTTGACAAAGTTAATATCATTTGAAGACGGTAGGTCATGTAGGAAGAATGAAAAGAGAAGTGGGGAGAGTACAGCACCTTGGGGGACACCAGATTCAGTGAGCACAGCAGAGGAGGATTGACCTTTGTATACGGTGTACTGCATTCTGTTTGAAAAGTAGGAATGCAACCACTTAGTGACCCAAGACTCGGTTTGTGTCGTGGAG